GGTTCTCCAACTTCCCCATCACCAACATCTAATATCCATTCCGAGAATTCTTTAAGATATTTTGCCTCTTGTGTAGTCAATTTGTTTGCAAGCAGTCGCATGTTCTTAGTGAGTTTCAACACTTTGCAATGATCCCAAATATATGATGAATTAAGTGCACCCATAGCAATGTCGGCCCTAGAACCTCCATTTATTACAGGAAGAACCTGTCTGAAATCACCTCCAAACACAACAAATTTTCCACCAAAACGTTTTTTCTCTGGAATCCGAATAATATCATCGAAATAACGTGGACCTTTTACATAGTTCAGCAATACTCGCAAATAATATGCATCTTCCTTCTTACGTGGAGCATAATTAATCCTTCCAATGCTAAACCCATTTTTCTTGACTCTGTCTTTGAACATATTCTTTTCTTATCGAAAGTAAACTTGGTAGGAATTTGCTCATAAGTTAACTTTCTAGCATCTTCATTAACCTTGTTGAGCTCAAACCAGGCTAGGAACATTGTATTTTCGATGAGTTTACGGCTGACCACAGATTCTAAATTGTCATCACCATTGAAAATTATAATCTGTTTCCCCGGAAGATGGAAAAAAAATCTCTCAACCGGTGTAGAACGATAATGTATTGGGTATTTAAAAATTCTCCATATTGCTTCAGATGCAGAGACATACCTGCAAATTTTCAAATAGGTATGTTTATAGATATAATGGAAAGACAAAGACATGATTTGAACAAAGAACATTACGGTGAAACCATATCTAACCTGCAGTCAAAAAAGTCTTTGATTTCATTTTTCTTGTTTTGACTGTTTCCTTGTTTTTCCCCAACAACGTTTGATCCATTTTGAGGTGGTTCTACAACAACGCTTACACGATCTTGCCCTTTGTTAATGTACTTAAATAAGTACTTAACAGAGCCTGTTTGGTTGCACCATTCCACATTTATTTGAGCTCGGTACCTGAGAGATAGTTTCTTATTGTAAGGTACAACGTAGGTGTTGTCACACTTAAAACCATTCTTCTCAATAAATTTTTCTGGTTGGTTGCGTCTTCTGTAAACTAGAAATCTTTTTTTGTTAATTGTAGTTATTTCGGCAAAAGCCTTTGGATATGACTTAGAACATTTGCCATTCTCCATGCATGGTGAATTCAGATTAACAACCCCACAAGGACCGTGAATCATCGTATCATTTATAACTTCATAAAGTTCTGGTTCTTTTTCCTTTTCTGGAATTTCCGCAGAAATGATTGTGTCTATGTCGTCAGTTGAAACTAACTTTGATTTTGGATCCATAAAAAGAAGAATATAAGCAGGTGGTAAGCCTCATTTTTGAAACTCAATTGTATACATTGCTTCAGATTTGAGGTAAAAAAACTTGAATGTTAGTTACTATAAGTAGTAATTTATAAATATAGATAAAACAAAATGAAGAGAAACTAATGAAAACTTACACGATCTTGTAACTCCCAACAGGTTTGTCTTTGTTAAATCTTCCATCAAAGCATCTAGTTTCATCTTAAATATCCTGAAAATAATATCTGGCCGATCCTCACTCGTTAAGTTTTGCTTGGAAGATATCTAGTGATCTCAGGCCATTTAGGATTGCATGTAAAGTTATGAAAAGATCTGGCAATCCAAAATGTTTGAAAATGGCCACTGTATCCAAATATTTATTCTTCATGTATCTGGGTCCACCTGTGAAAGTAGCTGGTAACATAAACTGTTTTCCTTGTTCATGCAAATCAGTGATACCAGCATGCTCTGATTGTTTGATGGAATCATAACTATCAGAACGTAAACACTTCTGATTTTTCCTCAAATAACGTAGTCTGTTAGATTCTATACTTTGGAATAATCGTCTTGAATGAAGAAGAGTATGAGACTCAGTTTTTCTTTCCTGAAGACGGTATGCAAAGAATTATCTCATAGAAATAGTTTTTTTCTTGAACTCTTTCCCATTTTTAGTGGAAGCTTTTTTAATCCCAAGCCTAAAATCCTCACCATATGGAAATATGAGAGGATATTGAAGTGCAAGATAGGAAGGATGGATTTTGCTAATCCTTTTAAGTTTTCCTAATTGTTCTTTTAGGATAATATCATGCATATCCATGTCTGGGCTGAAATCCCCAGAAATTAATGCAGCAACTTCAGATGCTGTGGGGATATTATATGTCCTTCCATCAGTGACATGATCACTAAGCATCCTCATATGGAAAGTTTCTGCAGGATTAGTATCAAATCTCTCACTAGCTGATCTCAAATTTTCAACATATGGATTGACGTCATTTAACATTTGGATGATAGGCTCTATAATCTCGTTTTTCTAACTATCTTTTTTCTTTTGCTGTGAAGCATTCTTAGAGCTGCAATATTTTAAAAAAAAAAAAAGATAGTGAGAAACATTTTTTTGATAAGAAAAAAATTTGGAAGATAGATTAATGAACATCAAATTTGGGATGAAATTTACTTCAAAGTCGTTGCTCTATTTTTAACCTCATTTTCTGTGTGAACAACATATAGCTATAGGAACTTAGCAAAATTTCTGCGTGTTGGCTTTAAACTTCCCATCATGTGATAGTTTTTTCTCTGAAGCTGAAACATTTGTGGTCCACGCCCTTTTTTAATTGACCGGTCAACTTTTCTACCAAGAGAATTAAATGAGAACGACATGTTGTAAGGCCTTGAATTCTTCTGAAAATGTTTATTGAGTTTGTCTGTGCCCTTAAATAGTCTCTTAAAGAGTTCAGGTGGCTCCTTTAAGATTGGCAATTTCACTTGGCCTTGCATACAACAGAGCGTAAAAGTAGGATTGTATGAATGAGTGCTTCTTCCTATGCGTTCCCCATACCACATAATAACTCCACAATGATGACATATATATAAAGGATCTCCCTCATCAATGTATACTGTAAAAATTAAAGTGTTAGCAAAGTAAAAAGTTAAAAACTAAAATTTTTATCCATGAGAAAGTTCAATTTTTCACCATCGCTGTATTTTGATTCGTTTCGGTATTCTCTGCATTACTGAAATATTTTAATTTCCCGTGCTTTTTTTGGCATACCACCTATCTCTAAATCTTCATCTGATATGTCCTCATCTTTTTTTTTCAGAATCTGTACTTCCTTGTCTACTATAATCAAATACTTGTTCTACATGTTCTGCTTTCACTGATCCTGCAATGTTTGTTTACGGTCCATTGTCATATATATAGATATGCAATATTAATATGCACTAAAATACCTTCTGAATCATAATTAGGTACATAATAACTTCCTTCTCTCTCTGATTGCAGATTATCCAAACGACCAATGACATTTAAATCTCTGACTGATATGGAAGTTCGAGTGCCTCTTGATGAATTTTGACGATATGTTTGTAATGTCTTTCAGTACAGTATTAGACTGCCTTCTGAATTCTCTAAAACCATTTGTTTAGTGGTTAACCCTGCAATTTTGTTCTGGTTTACTGTAAGAGAAATTTATATCACTGGTTTTCAATTAAGTTTTTGTATATACAAAGATCATAAAATAGTCAAAAGTGAAGTTAATTATGCAGCTTAAGTTTCCATTTATAAGAAGATCATAAAATAGTCAAAAGTGAGTTAATTATGCAGCTTACGTGAATGTCCATTAGTGCAAAGCTTTTTCAAAGATTGCGGATTTTCACAATTTTCTTTGTTAGCGACTGTATAGACATGTTAGGAAATCACACATTAGACTCAATTGTAATAGCAGAATAAGTTGATTTTTATATGTGATATCTAATTTAATAATAAAGAAGAGGTCTCGTGGTTGCCACCAATTGTTTTTCTTTTGTTTGTTGGTGGTTTGGACAGTATAGAATTCTCTTTGACACCAACATCTGTATAGTTTATTCCAAAAAAAAAAAGCATTCAAGAATGTTTTGGTTTATGGTAGAATCTAGTAATTAATTCATTAATTAGCAGGGTAAAAAACGTACAACTAATCTGTTTTCTCCTATTTTTAGGTGGATTTGGCATGGAAGCATTTCCGTCAGATTGCAGTTGTTTATTCTGCAAAACAGGTAAATTTGTGAGATCATTTCTAACTCTATTGAAAATCAAACTCAGTAGAAAAGGTTTTCTAGAATTAGTTTCAGGCTTTTTTTTTTTATTGGAAGCCATGTTTTCAGAGTGATGAGTATCTGTCATTGTCTACAATCTTCATATGTTTAGATTGCAATTCGTTAGCCAATTATCATGAGCAGAAAATCCTATTTATACGAGATCTCAGTTGTTACTATAATCAGTTGTTGTCGATGTGGTACAGTAATTAGAAAAACAAAACAGTATATGCTAAGCATATATGTCGACAAAAAAAAATATGCTAAGCATATACTATCGTTCAATCGAAAATTTTCATTCAGGAAAGAAATGATTTTTAATATTATTTCTATTATCATGAAAGTTATATTTGATACTTAGTGACTTCAGTGTACGACAAAACTTTCCACTAAGCACTGTAATCATGTGTTTCTCTATATTATTTCATAGAAAACCACTAAACACTATCTTTTTTAAAAAAGCTACATTTGACACCTAGTGACTTCAGTTTACTACGTAAGCTCTCTTTAATAGCCATGCAACAAATTACCAGCAAACCCATTTTAGAATTTTTTTTAATTAGAAAAACATAACAGTATATGCTATACTGTCTTTCAATCGAAAAATTTCATTCAGGAAATAAATAATTTTCAATATTATTTATATTATCTGCTTATGAAAATTTATACATGCAAAGATACATAATTTTGATTTTCATGTAGCAAAAATAAATAATATTGAAACATAACTGAAACATAAGAATCCAGAAACTTGAAATTATAGCCAATCCTAACTGAAACATAAGAATTCAGAAATTTGAAATTATAGCAAATCCTAAAAAATCCCCGAACACAACCGATTTGAATTAAACGAATTATTTTAAACCAGCAATAAAAAACTTAAAACTTAGAAAGCGAAAATAGGAGCATCTTTATTTTTTATCTTCTTCTTTTACTGCAATCTGTGGTTTCACTTCCTCCTCATCTGTAATGTTCTCAACCTTGATGATCTTGGTGCATTGTTTCTTAGAAGTAGAACTTAGATCAGGTAAATTATTACTATCTTCTGATGACCGCTTAGAAGAAGGGGTACAAAATGATCCAGAATGTGATGAAAGTGATCCAGAAATTCCATCACTGATAGTTCCAATTAGTGAAACCTATGTATAATTTAAAACACAAGTTTAGAATATAAGAAAACCATCACGTGTTTAGAATATTAGAAAACCAATCATGTGTTTTCTCTATATCATTCCATCTAGAAAACCACTAAGCACTATCTTTTTTTTTAAAAAGTTACATTTGACACCTAGTGACTTCAGTTTAACTACGTAAGTATCCTTTAATGACCATGCAACAAATTACCAGCAAACACATTTCATTCTTATCTCTTATACATGATTAAAAATGCAATTATACGATTGAATATATATACGCATGCAGAAACAATTTCGATATAAATTCAAAAAGGATCCGTATAATTTTAGAAAACTGGAATTATTTTTACCTCATCACCAGATACAATTGACACAACATTGTTTAAAAGATTGTCTTGTTCGGACTCATATTCAATCTTTATCAGATCCTGACCATTTCCAGCCTTTGAATACTTGTAGATTTCTGATCCATATAAAACATTCTCCTTCTCAATACAAATTGCAAACATATAAGTCTTTCCAACCAAATCCTTAAGAGCTTGGGGTATTGCTTCTGGATCTTCAATCTGAATTAATAAGAATCCAAAGTTTTAGGTTATATTTTGTTAAACCACATAATTAAACCAAACAATCATTTTATACCTCATCAAATGATCCATTAAGGAGCTGAGCAGCAGATTGTGTCACAATCGGCTCTGCAGTTTTATCAAGAAGCAAAAAGTTTGTTTTTCCTGTGTCTTCCATGACCTTGAGATGCAACGTAAACCTTCAAAACATTACAATCTATTACGACAATTTAAAAAACTTAATGCAAATACGTTAGATGACATTGTGTAGATATGATACCTTCTTGTACATCCGTGACAATTCCATTACAAACATCACATTTGAATTTGGGTTTATTAATGTTTGTGTTATTTGTTATCACTCTTTGGACTCTTCTGTTACACTTTCCATATCCAAAATAATACCAACTAAAGTCCGTATCAATAACATAGATAGTACACATGACTTTGCATTTTTCAATCTGCCAATAAAATTGGTAAGGTTATTGTATGTAAACTAAACATTAAAAATGGATAATTAGAATTACAAACCTCAGTGGCGTTTAGGATTTCTGCTACTGATTTTGTTGGAAGTTGAGACCACTTTTCGATTCCCTTCTTGATGACTTGTTCAAACTTCTCTTTTGGTTCAATGATAGTTAGAGCAAGACCATCTTGGGGTAAACTGTTAATTCGACGTAAAATAATAAAGTTAGTGTGTCCATAATCTTTAATTTTTATTTGAATAAATGAAAGCATAAAATAATTGAACATATTTTGAAAATTTTTTTTTTGGAACTCTTCCACTTCAGGTATGGCAGGGTTTAGGAGGAGAGATGATGCGTCAAATGCATTTGTCATTTGAAGTTCTCATGCATAAAAAAATAATCAGGTATGTATGATATAAAATCTGGCAATTCTTTTGAATTTGATGCTAGTTTTCTCATATCGATAGAAGCCTATTTTTCCAAACCAGAGCAAAAACACAACATTTTCTTCGCCAGCATTTTGGCAATATGCTGTAATTTGATCAGCAAAAGTACCCCATAAACAACATTAAATACGATTGTCGCTGCACCAAATCATAGATTCAAAAATTGATTAGGAGTCAAAATACAAATGAATAAAAAGCAAACAAAATTAGTTTACATCTTACTCAGTGTCTCTTAGATGAAATTCAACTTTCTTTATATCTTTAGCACCCACCGGAACCGTAGAGATTTCCCCATGTCCACCACTTGACCAACAACATCTGTAAAATATGAAATGTATGTAAAAAGATCTAAATATATTAAGATATATTGGAAGAAACTATTTTTTTTTCAAAAAAGGTATCCTACCATGGAAGTTGTGCTCATGAAATAATTAATCGGTTTTCTTAATATAGTTGTGTTTGGATCATTGAAAAAATTCATGGTTTCGTTTCAGCTACGTTATTATGCATGTAGTTTTTTTTTTTTTGAAATTGTATAGAAAATATTTCAAGTTTGGTTTCAACTTAAAATTCAATTCGAAATTTTAAATATTTTTGGAGAAATAAAATAATATACTTAATAAACATCATTCTATGATATTTTACTTTCTTAGTATACAGGGTGAATTCCCTCGAGACATACATTCATTTCAAACTCTCATGATAAGAAAACTATTTAATTTCATAAATAATATCTTATAAAATATTTAATAATCCAGAATAAAATTCAGAAATTTTTGTAAATAGAAAAACAAAACATGAAATCATGTAGTAGAGTGCTAAATATGAACTTAACAATCAAGTATTGAGTTTTGAGATTACCACTTGTGATATGCTCAAAACTGGTCAATGACAAAAAAAATCATCTGATTTTAACAAAGATCGTGTGATGGTTGTTGTGCTCACGAAACTCATTTTGTAGACATGGCTAGTTAGACAGAAATTGCCATTTGCAGGAGATAAAGAGAAGTTTTCAATTATTTTCTACTCTCCAACACTAAGTTGTTTTTCAAGACGAAAAATCCAAGTTTTTCTACATGAAGCATGGATTTTAACACCCTTAACAGAGTAAGAGTTGCTTTTAATAGTATAGGAAAAAATATTAGCAGAAATTAAATATATACTGATATTGAAATTACAAAAATGACTAACGGTTTCATCTGCCAATACCAACTCTAATGATTCTGCAGCATGGGATGTATATTGCTTCCACGAATGCAATACTTTTATGTGGATTCGCCAAGTCTTTTTGTAAGGCTTCACATCTTTAAGGTAAGTGAATGAACTTTTTGAAACCATTTTTTTCACAAACACGTTAGTATGAGTTGGTGGTGTTGAGTAATGAAATTCTTAAATGAGTTTCTATTTTATAGACGTAGGTTATCGATAATTTAGGAGAATCAAAATGTTATTATTGATTATTAAAATAAGATATTATCTCAAGAAGGATTGACACAGATCGAATATGCTAAAGCATAATATGGTATAAAGTAAAGGATTATTATGTAGTAATTCAACTTTAATAATTTGAAATTGAAATCCCTGAAACAGAACTGAAATATACGGATGTCAAATTAAAAGAACCGTAGAGATTGCATGATTTGGTGGGATTGCATGCTAAATATATTTAAAAAAAAATTAAAACTTTGCTGATTTGGTGAGATTGCATGCTAGAATATCGATGGATAAGGTTTAGTATGTATTTCTAATTTATTATCTTTTAAAAATGATGAAAAAAAATCGGGAGAGAGAAACAATAAAACCTTAATTATAAAAATAATTAAAACAGAAAAATCGAATTTAAATTTGGTTTAGTAACAGAAATATTAGATATCCACAAGTAAAATAGTAAAAAACTTTTAAAAAAAAATTGTTTGGACATGAAACACCCTTCTCTCATAATAGAAAAGATAAGCATAACCTGATATGAAATCATCTTGACCAATACCAGACCGAATTATAAACCGACCAAACTTAAATCTTAGGGGGGGGGTGAGGGGTATTGGATCTCGACATGTGATTGATTTTCGAGGAATAAACGTTTCTATTAAATTCTGTGTTATTTAATTAGGTGTTTCATCAATTCTTTTAAATGTAGGTGTTATTGGATTAAGTATTTGTAGTCATTCCTTTATAATACTTTAAATTTTACTGTTATTCAATATATGAGTTTTCCAATTCTATTAAATATTTGTGTTATTCAATATTGGGTGGATTTTGGAGTAACATCATTTACAAATAATTTAATAGAAAATGATTGTAAAAATGTAAAGAACCAATTTTTTGCTTTTTTGCTATGATTTTAGAAAGAATTATACCCTTGTGTCGTAACACTAAGTATTATTATGTTTTTATGTTGTGTTTTCACATTAATCTTCTATTATATGATTATGATAATTTTGTTGCAAGATCTTTCCAGTGATTGGTTACAAATTCTAATCAACCATATATTAAAAGATAAATAAAAATCAATTATATATCCTTTTAAAATTCTTACCAAATAGTATTCAAATTTCAAATATTGTTCATCTAGTCAATTTAGTCAATCGTATATTATAAAATTCCTACAAAATAGTAATTATTTTTTACAAATTAAAAAAAAACTTATCTGTTATATCATCTCCCCTATATATAGCATTGCATAACTCTCTGAAAACAACAAACCAAATAAAACAGTATCACCAGTAAAAATGTATCTTTTTTTTACCATTCTTGAAATGATTAGTTCTTGTACTAGTTCCATAACACTGTTTTGTATTTTTCTTCAAAAAATCTTACGTTTGTTAATTATTGTTTTCATATGTTATGTCATATATATTTATTATATATTGAATCTTTTTGGCACATGTACGTTAATATATTCATGTTTTTTTTTTCTTTAACTAGATGGAAACCAGAGACTTTTTTAATACTAAATTTCTTATTTTTTATACTCTATAAATAGAAAGTTGTTTTATTTGATTTGGACGCAGAAAAAAAACATATGGTTTTCTATACTTTTTGTATTAGATTTATTATACATTTTTTTGTGAAATGAATCCCAACAATCATTTTTTAATATCTAAAATTCTACTAACTACTTAAATTTTGACAATTATCAATTTTAAAATTAATTTTCCAAAAAAACTGAAACATATAAAATAAAAATTAACAAATTATTTTACTCTTAATTATTTTAATTTAGTTTTTATAATTATAAAAACAGAAAACATAAAAAATAAGAATATGAAATAAAAGTGATAAAGTAAAGTGTTGAATGTTATTAAACAAAACTATTGTAAAATATAAAAGTTTAGTGGGAGTTGAATTATTAAGTGGAAGAGAGAGAAGATGATGTGGAATGTTTATAAGTAAAAAGTAAGATGTTAAAAAATTAAATCAATGTACATAGTCTAATAAAGATGACATGGAGAAAACATAGTGGAATAGTTTCAACAGGCGTGAATCAAATTTTGTGGAATTATCTTCTGCCATTTTTCACATATTTAATTATTAAAAAAATATTGGATAATATATATATATATATATATAGAAAGATGTGTTGTATTCTAATTGCCTATTTAGATTCTTGATATTTCTTTTTACCTGAATTATGTCAGATAAATTATGTCATCGAATAATATTGTTTTTATATTTTTCTATATCAAAATTCATCATTTTCATATTCTATAAATAGAGACTTGGTTCACTTAATTTGGACACAGAAAAAAAATATTTTTTACTATATTTTTTCTATTAGCTTCAAATAAACCCTTGTTTATTTTTTTACTTAAATGTTTAGTGAAATGGATCCTTATAATAACCATTTTAGCTCCCAAAATACTTCTAATTATGCTTTTAACTATCTAAATCCTAACAATTATCTTTTTCCAAATCAATTTTCCAACCAACCACAAAACATTTCAAATTATGATTATCCACTAAATATTTTCATGCCGTCAGCTGTTCAAACTATCGTCGTCCATATTATGGATCGATGATGCCATATCCATCTCAAAACACCTCCTTATGGATCGATTCAATCGCGAACGAGCTCACATGTGAGATATAGCCGATTTAGCTATAATTATAAGGTCATGTATTATATTGTATAATATAATTGTTAAAGATGAATGAGATACATATGCTCAAAATTAGACTGATTATGATTAGTCTGAGTAAAATTTAAAAAATTAAATTTAATATATAATAATTAGTCTCAAATAATTAGGAATATAAAAAAATCAAAAATTAGCGAATAACAACACAAAAGCATATTAGTGTGGCGCTGCCGGACTCATCTCACCCTTATTCAACATGTTAAATTTTTTTAACTCAATTTAATCCACCTAGATAAAAACATTATATTCAACACCCTTTATTGATTCAACTGTTTAATTTTTCTTTCCACACTACCATTGTAACTAATCTTATTATTCAACATCCATTGTGATGATTCATCAGTTGAATCAATTATTCAATAATTGAAAATGCACCACTATAACTAGTTTTACGAAAAAAGTTAAGTAAGACTATGAGCAATAGAGGTGTTGAATTATTATTATTAATTCAACAGTTGATAACATGCAATTGAGGTGTTTAAATATTTAAAAGATGACATGGCCATTCAGCTACTGAATGAAATAAAAATAATAATAAAGCTTAAACAATTTAATCTGACAGAAATTGAGAAGGAAGAGAATATAAGATAGGACACATGTCCAAATATCATTTGGGTTTGAGATTTTTGATTTTTTTTATCATCCACAACTTTTTAACTCAATTAGTATTTTCTTATTATTTTTTTAAAACAATTATACTAAAATCTATTATTATTTGAACTCTATAAATAGAGTCTTGTTTCATTTAATTTGGACACAAAAGAATTATATTTTTTTCCTATGACTTTCACTATCATTCCAAAAACTCTTATTTTCAAACATATTTTGGGTAATTATCATTTTCACTATCCAAATCTCAACAGCTATCAAATTCCTAATCTGTATACCAATAAACATCCCCAAATTTTACAATGTCGTCAGCTGTTCTAAATTATCATCCATATCAATATTATGGCTCGACGATGCCATATTCATTTCAAGCAACAAAATTTTCAGAATCTTCAACACAAATAGTTTTTGGTGTTATGAGTAGTCCAAATGAGAGCGGTGCAAATGTGATCAGTCCAACTATGGAGGACTCAACTTCTACTTGAAAGAAAAGCCCCAAATGGACTACATATATTGTTTTTTGGGTTGAATTTGTC